CCGCCCGCTGTCCGCCGCGACCCGACGGGCCGTCCCGGTTCTGCTCCTGGAACGTAACTCCAGGCTGTCAGGCCTGCGGCCGAAAGCAACGCTTACCGCTAAGGAAGGGACGGAGCAAGGGGGCGACGAAACTCCACTAAAGGGGTTTGGTTTTGGTGGTGTGGGGTGTTTTTTCTCTTATTTTGGGAACAAATGTACAATTAGAGATGATGAAAGATAAAAACTAACACATATTTATTAAATGGTTTTACAAACAACCAATATAATAATTCCATGTTTACAAAATAGTAATCAGGCTAGGTAAAGTGCTGCAAAATATTTTAAATAAAGACATTTTGTAATTTTCCAGTTTCTGGTTACCCAGATAGGTGTTACTTACAGACTGTTATGCCGCTCGTGTGCTGAGAACAGACATGGAGACTACAGGGAATTTGTTCAGAAGGCTTAAACGGTCTGGAAGAAGTACAAAACGAACAAAAAACAAGTAACGAGTATTTTTTCAGATCTTATTACTTCGGGTTAAAATTATTTCCCCTCCTCGGCATAATTTTTTTTTCACAAACAAACTGAAGAGTGGTAAGTAGGTGTGTAATACATACACATGGGAAGCCCTGTTTGCTGAAAATAGGGTGCTTTTACGCTGGATTTGACACACCTAAGGCTGCTGATAAAATGGCGATCACTCTGTCTCTCAGATGTACTAATGCAAGGGGAAATTCTCCAAGTACGAAGACCTGAACTGCATGCCACAGATCCTGTCCTAAAACACGTCGTTTTCTTCCAGCAGGGATGTGAAGTGCTACTGCAAGGCGAGGGGTGGGTGAGCACTTCAGCCATGCTACTGCAAAAATACACGGCATCCTCAATTTACTGCCAGGTAAGAGCACACCAGAAAATGCAGGCAGAACTGATCCCACGGCAAGATCATGCCCTGTGTCACCCCATGGGCACTTGCTCCCACATCCACACTCTGATCTACACCCTCTATGCTGCCTGTACTGCCTTTTGACTGGAAACGGCAAGCAAGCAGGCTTTCCACAGAACAAACGCATGTTTCAAAGCTACGTGCTACCTCATACTCGCTTGCCTTTCTTCCTGCCCATGCATTGACTTTTGGAAGATGGAAAGGTGACGGCAGTGCTCAGTCAAAACAACGCTGTGGACCATTGGCAGGTTGCATAGTGGGAATTTTTCAGTAACTGCTGTTTTGTGACAGCTGCTAGAATACAGTAAAATGAAGGCTTCTCCAGAGATTTCCAGTTGAAGGCAGTGTGGAAGGGATCTCACAAAGGAGAGAAACGTTTTCTTTGTGTTCTGCTGTCAAACTGCTGGCAGTGGAACGTCTCGTGTCCGAGCAAAGTGTTTCTTACATGCGGTTGTTTGGGAGAGAAGAAGTAATTTCCTGCAGAAAACTAAACATCTTTCCACTACCTGAGGAGGAATATTAAATGTTACAGGATTACCTCCTTCCCATTACATGGTATTTAGGGGCTTGAATGTAATCAACTACCACGAGAACAGAAAATAAAATCCTAAAGACACTCAAATAAGCAATTATGCCCCTAAACTTTAATGATTTGCTTGTTCAAGTTTTGCTTTGTTTCTCTTTCTGGAAAAAAAATTAAAATAAATTGAGACTTGTACTGGAAAAAAAAAATCAATCTATTTTTCTATCTTGAAACCAGAAAATGGATCATTTACAAAAAGTCTGAGAAACTCCTCCAACTGCTTTTCCTTCTTGATCTAATCTATTATTCTAGAAGAGTGCCTCTACGTTACATACTTTTATAACCACAAGTATTCTTCCATAAAACAACAATAAAGTGCACACTGTTATAATGCTACCATCGACAGCCAGCTAGTCCATCCCATCAGTCTGCTTCAGAAAAGCCTGTGCAGGATGGCTCCCTCCCACCTCTCCCCGTCCGGTAGCCCGTTTTGCCTCCTGGCACCAGTGCTCCTGTACAAGGAAGCACACAGTTGTGTAGGTGTCCTACAAAGTTCCATCAGCAACTTGGAAGGCGTACTCCTCTAACTACACAGATTGTCCTAAACATGCAGCAAGGAAACGAGGCTTCTAACTCATCTGAGAAATTTAAATGGCCTTTGACTGATTTCCCAGCAAAAGCTTCTTTTATTTTTTTTCAAATGGGAAGGACAAGCTGGGGGAAGCTAAAAAGGAAACTTAACCAACGATGTGGAAGCAATATGGTCATAGTTTTTTAATCATTTCCAGAAACTCACTTTTAATGCTAAGATGTTATAATTCCAAAAGCTGCATCTTGGGGGATCTATATCCAGCATCCACTTACTTTGTAATGGATTTGATAATCAAGGCACAGGCTCACTTTTTTACTGGTAAAGGACAGCAAACACGGTCAATATGCATTACTGACACAAAAGCACAAGCAACAATAAAGCTAGTGTCAAAAATTCTCAGCATCTTTCCTTTCACTGCCCTCTTTTTGGCCATCTACCTATTTTTTCACCTCTGAAAGGAAAACAAACTAAAATGGAGTTAACTTGAAACACAGGTTTACCTACACATACATGTTAGTGGAAGATTTTTATAATCTGTTGCTGTACTTTTTGAGGGTCCTGGATGACAGTATTCACCTCTTCAAATGCCAGCAAATGGAAAATCACTTGAATAGTAGTAGCAGCTGAGATGGTCCCTCAACTTTGCTAACGGTTTACATCACATTAAAAAAAATAGCTTTACTTCCTCCTATTTCTTTGATTACTATTGCTTGGTATTACAATTCAGTTTTCTCACAGGTGAACAAAAAAGCCATAGAAAAAGTTAAATAAGTTACCTGCTTAAGATCCCATGCCACTCACTGAGCACATGTGGAGTGTAAATTGGCAAAGAATTTAAACAAGTTCTTTTTTGTTTGTTTTAAATTACATGCCAAGAAGAAGATTCTGAGTGTCTTCTCTAGCAAACGACCTCAGCGAATACTTTTAAGGATCTTAAAAGATTCAGCTTGCAACACAACCTTTGTTGCAAGTGGTGGCAGCTGTCCTGGGGAAAAAAAGAAAAAAACAAGCCCGCAGAATCTTGAATTAAGTAAGGAACTGGCACCTAAAAACAGCTTTTCTTTCTTTTTTTTTTTTTTTTTTTTAAACACTAACCTCTATTCCAAACAGTAACTACCTTCACCTGATCCCAAAAAGGTGGTTCAGTTTTCGTTATATTAACTCTTAAAAATAAAAATGTGTTGGCTGACTTTACATGAGCAATACTGCCAAGGACCAGACTCTGTCAAGGAACACCGCAGGTGGTGTCAGTCAAAGAGCATGCCACTTTACAACTCTACAAGCCTAAAACAGCAAAAAAACTTGGAAATGCATCACCATATCCAAAATAATTCAAAGGTTTTAAGTATGAAATCAAGTTCTTTGATAGTGTTGCACACATTTAAACTAGAGTTGTGCTGGTTAATGTGTTTCATAGATAGTAGATGCACTACACATAATGCTACCTGCAGGGATTCATAATTTTCGGTATGATTGAAGGAGGGGAGATTTAGTTAATCTCATTGCAATCCTCTGATAACTTACCCTCGCTGTGTGAATCATTAATTGTATTACATGGTTGGCAGCCAAGAGCAAATAAACTGTCAATGTTGAAAATTCGGCTCAGGACCCCAAAGTAGATGGTTGGCAAAAAGATAAAAAAACCTCTCCTCCAACTCTTTCTAACAATTGACCTCCAACACTCATCTGCAACCAAACCGTGGACAGATAATTCATTTCCATGCTATTACATTGAGGTATAACTACCAGAAACATTAAACTATCAGTATTGGCTGATATTTATCCAGTTAATTCACTCTGCATAAAGGAATTTATTACAACACATCTAAAGTGATAGTTAAAGCTTACAGCTCAGATTTTTCCTTTTTTTTTTTTTTGTGTTTGATTTTTTTTGTATGTTTTATGTTTAATTTCTTCTATGTTACTAGCTGCAATTTCCAGGTTAATGACTTCCAAGCAGATTTGAAAGGAAGCCTGAAGATTTTTTCTTTTCCTGGGATTCTGCTTCTTGGCCTTGTGAAAGTCCCAATTCTTCCTCAATCTGCTCAAGCTCAGACTGGTCAAGCAGTTCAAAATCATCAGCTTCCTCTGTGTCTGTCTCCTCGCTCAAACTGGGCACTGCATGTGAGGGAGCTTGCTGTGCAGACTGCAACTGGTCTTTGATGGCAGCAGACACCGCAGCTGCGATGACATCCCCAGCAATTCCACTCATTAAATTAAAGGTTTGGTCACTGGTCAAAGGCAAGGAGAGGCCTGCAGTGGACGGTCTCTCTTTACTCTGTCTGGAAGCATGATCCACCTTGAAATATGTTTGTTCTTTTTTTCGTTTTTGCTGGATGGGCATACCGATGCTTGAGTCATCCTCATCATTTGTTCCGGCACCATTTTCTAAAGAAGGAAATTCTGAAAGATCTCTAGCGAAAGCTTCTTCATGATCACTAGGTCGGTCAAAATCTATTACAGGATAAACAGAAGGAAATGGTGTTAGCAAACACAAAAGGCTCCCCTAAAAAAGCAGCCAAATGTAAAAATGCAATTACCATGTTTTCTTGTAAATACATTTACTAATCCATAGTTTAGTAGTCTTCTGTAGGTTTCCATAGTCTTAATGCAGAAGAGCTTTGTGTTACATCTAAAATAAAAGGGTTTTGAGGTCGTAAACCTACTACCACAAAGTCACCTGGTATCAACCTAACTCAGAAAGTTATTTGAGGATAGTATGTTTTTAAAATGGTATCTAGCTGTAAATGAAACAAGCCATGCAAATCTTCAGCACAGACAGTTCTAAATACACCAGCTACATAAAGTCCCTAAATTTATAATGTCACAATAGGTCTTTAAACATTTTTTCTTCACAATATATATAAATTACAAATATGTACCGTGTATTAATGTTTTACAAGCTTTTAAAACACTTGTAGAATTAAAAAAGAATGTTTACATGTTTAAATAAAGATTTAAAACCAATGTAAAGACTTAATTTATAACTTTTTCCTTTCTTGGCCAATCCCTGTATTAAATAGGAAATAGAAAATGGAAACTCTATAGATGACTAGTACAGTTTCACCTTTTCAAGAGGATAAAAAGCAGAATGTAAACAAATAAAAGATTAGATTTTAATGACTGCATTAATGGCATAATATTTGTTACTATAAATGTGTAAAATACACTGACCACAGTACATGGCCATGCGGACCTAAATGAGCATAAAGGAATATTTTGATCTAGTATTTGAATGAGAAGGTAGAAAATAATCAGTGTGAACTTACTTTCTATGAAAACAAGCAATAGGAGCATTCCTAAGGGCTAAGGAAATGAATCCTAAAAAGGTCTGGTACGTCATTTTCTCCATTTTCTTTAGGAAAAACAGGCTGGGAAAGTGAGGAGGAAGGGTTGTGCTGTATGCAGAGTGGTGGCTCAAATGCACAGAGCTTTGAGAGGAGATAAGCCAGTCCTCGGACGCCTCCCATCTGGTCTTGCACTTGTGTGTATGTCCCATCTGCTGAAATGCTCCGTGAGGGGAGAAGAGTGGATGTTGTTTATTTTTCACTGAGGAAGGCCTCTAATGCAGTTTCCCACATTATACGTACAGCCAAATTGGTGAGCAAACTGGGTAAGTGAACTGTAAGGTGGGTGGAAAATTGGCCGGACTGCCAGGGTCAAAGGGTTGTGATCAGTGATAGAAGGTCCAGCTGGAGGCCAGTTACAGGTGGCATCTCTCAGATGTACCGTTCAATGTTTTTACTAATGACTTAAGAGGACGGGATGGAGTGCACTCTCAGCAAGTTCACAGGCAGAAAGGAACTGCTCTGGGGCAGGTGTATTTGATATTGTGGAGGGCAGGGTGCCCTCAGAGGGACCTCAACAGGCTGGAGAAATGAACAGGCTGAAAAGGAACATCATGAAATTCAACAAAAGCAAATGTGAAGTCCTGCATCTGGGATGGAATAACCTGTGCAGCAGTACAGGTTGGAGGCAACGAGGCAGAAAGCAGCTTTCAAGAAAAAGACCTGTGGACAGCAATTCAGTAGTATGCCCTTGCAGCAAGGAAGGCCAGCCATATACTGACCTTTAATAGCAAAAGTGAGGACAGAAAATCAATGGGAGGGACTTTCCCCCTCTATTCAGCACCCAAGAGTGCACATTGGGAGTACTTCATCCAGTTTTGACCTCTCCAGTACAAGAAAGACAATGAAAGACTGGAACGAGTCTGCTGGAGGCTCAGCATGATTATCAGAGGGCTGTAGAACACAACATAGGATGACATGCTGAGAGAATGGGCTTTGTTCGACCTTAAGAGAAGGCAACAAAGGGGGAAATCACACAGTTGTCTTTAACTACCACATGGGAAGGTATAGAGAAGATGGGGCTGAGTCCTCTTAAAGGTAAACAGTGGAAGGAATGAGAATAAATTGACACAAGCTGGAACATGGGAAATTCTGACTCACTATAAGAAGAAACTTTTTCATCATGAGGGTGATAAAATATTGAAAAAGGCTATCCAGGAGGCTGCTGAATCTCTGCCACTGGAGGTGCTCAAAATTCCACTGGTCACAGCCCTGAGCACCTTGATCAAGTTGAACCTGCTTTGAATAGGAAGTTAAATGTAATGAACGATAATGGCTCGTTCCAACTTATGACTCAGTGATTGTACAATGCTATCTATTTACAACTGGAAATATTAACCAAATAATTTAAACTATTAATTTGGCCTCTATAATGTTGTTAAGTAATATCACCCTACCTGTCATTTACAGTGAACTTTTCCTAGAAGAGAAGAAATATAACACAAGCAGAGCAACAAATCCATAGCTAAGATTACACCAAACTACTGTTGTCCTTAATCTTTATTTAGGCAAAGTGCTAAGTGAAAGCCTGGTCTGTAAAAAGTAAGAACTTACAGATATGGTCAAGATCAAGACCAACTGCTTGAGAATCTTGTCTTAGTCTTCATGTCTCATTTAGGCTCATTGCTGGCTGTCTTCATCAGTATTTTAGTAACTAAAACCTAGTAATACTTTCTTTAATTGGCTGTTTAGCAATTCAAAGTATTCACTTTTTCTTCCTCAGCTTTATTTGGATAGCCTGCCCACAAAAACACTGGTACTAACTTAAAAGGTTTACTTGCTTAAAAGGTTTGGTGGAAGAGCGTGGTAC